AATATTCATTTATTTACACATACATAAAATAATACACACACTTGGTGCCTTACACTATGCGGTCAATCAAGGTTCTAACCTCGTCCACCTTGGAAACTACATTTTATGTGTTTCTTGCTAGCAGGATTACCTCACCCCTGGCAGAAAGCCTGATGTATAAACCATGGAAGGTTATATATTATGACTGACTCTAAGCACTAAAAGCTCATTAGCTACAACACCGAAATCTGTACCAGGAGTTACAAACGAATTAACCCCAAACCTCATTTGCTATAGTCATCCATGGAGACCATCAGAGTAAACTATTTTTTAATAGACTATAGATAAACATATGTTTTGGAATTAGCCAAGAACATCTAATGTTACAAAAGCTTTTCCCTACCAACACTTAACTACGGACAATATAGCTGCACAAAAATTCAGTCAGAAATAAAGAACAGCAAATGAACAGATATTGTGAAATAATTATTATGGGATGATATCTGTAGCAAAGAGACAAGATTCACCAGTCACACAAAATAATACAATGGATGTAGTTCTACATTTAGTCATGCAAGAGTCTGATCAGCTACAATTATTTTGATACACAGTTGAAAACTGAGGAATAACATTATGAAAGATATTACAGAAGAAAATAAAGTAAAAAAAGGAGGCATCAACACTTGACAGGTTACTTACATGCACAGAGGCCATTGGGAAAAAGACGGCATGAAAAATGTACAGGGGTAATTGAGATATGGCTTGCAAAATATTAATGAAATCAAAATTCTAAGCACAAGAAAACAATTTTTAAACACACAGCAAATAATTCACATTGACACACAGAACCTCAGATATATTACAATTAGAAAGCATACAGGTAAGTGTTTGTCCCATGCAGCTTCTTTTGCTTAGGCTGCAGTGTTTTTTTTTTTTTTCTCCTAGTCATTTAAAAATGGACCCAAAAACAAAAGGTAAACACCTTAGAAATTAGAACAGACTAGGGCCTTTTTTAACTCTTCATTTTTCCTTATCGATAGTCACTAGTGAATTTCTCCTTTCTGTTCAAAACTAAAAATATACATTTTGGCTACAGCTGGACTTTAAACAACTGTCTGAATAAATTCTTATTCATTATGGACCTCTTTGTATATAATCTATCACAAGCAAAACACCTGTCCCAAAGCTGTAACGTCACTTGCAAAGGAACTGATAAAATTAGTAGTCTAGCATAATGACTTTAGACTGGCTGCTGGGCCGGGTGTTTTGCTTTGCAGCAGGTACCCTTTGATTCGCATATTTAACTGAAATCAAAACCATCTGATTATCAAAAACTTCTGTAGAATAAAACTTTCATGAATAGAAAATTGGTTATTTATACAAAAACATACACTTTCCCAACAGTGCAAGTTGCTAATCAAATAGAAGACAGAAGTACTGCTACATGATTCTGGAAACATTATTTACCCATTATGATGTGGCTGTATAATTAATTGTTTCTACTATAGGTTCAGTTGACTAACATTTTTTTTGGTTGACATTTGCGCATTGTTGAACAAAAAAAAAAAAAAAAGTACTCATTAATTCTGGGGAAGGTTCCATACACAACAGTTCCTGGTGCTAATTTAATTATGCTAAACAGGATTGTAATTCCACTTCCACTTTACCTGGATTTAATTAGATACCATGAAACTGCAAATTAACCAGTAAGGTAAATTGTTTACAAGTGAATTTCATTCAAAGCAAAATTACCACAGCTCTTTTCCAATAATATACTGTGAAAATGCTGTGGCTCTTACATATGAACTTCTTATATATTGAGAGCATTAGAAACATGAGAAAATAAAGTTTTCATCATTCCTACAACCTAACTCTAATAAAAGTTAAACAGTGCAAAAAATGTAAGACATATTTCATGTTGAAATGCCCCAAACCAAAGAAAATAAAATGTCTACCTTCAAAAATCTATGGGACTGCTCAAAGCGGAGTTCTGGTAGTTTTTTTTCTTTTCTTTTAAAAAAACAGCCCCCTGATCATGGCAGCTTACGCCATGCAATTTGGCATAAGCTCTTTAAGTAATTGTTTGTGTTTCTGTTTAAAAAAATACTTACTGGCTCAGTGCTATAGAGTAATGTTCCATATTGAGTGTGGGCATCTGATGCCTGCTCGGTCTTTCTTCCGAGAAATGATGCAGCTGGCTACCCAGCATGCACCTCCCAATCTCGTGCCTGCACAGTGGCAATGGCAGAGCCAGCGGAAGTTCCCACCCCATTGGTATGGCAACCTGTCAATCAATGCAGCAAAGGAGAAGGAAGCTAGCATTCCATGCAGATATTGCATGAGCCAACAGGCAGGAGGATGTGACGTACCTCGCCGCGGCAAGGTTGGAAGGAAGTGAAGCTCTTCTCTATCAAAAAAGGTAAAAAAAAAACTTAGAAAAAAAAAAATCTATGTGTCCCCAAACATTGATGGAATAGAAATTAGGAACAGCTTGGGCAGTGAAAAAAAAAAATGGGTGGAACTTCGCTTTAATTGCTGCTGCAGAAAAGAAAGAAGGGCTGACAACAGAATGCAATTAGAATTCATATTGAATGCCAAAAATTCCAATTAGTCCTTACAGGTTAAGCTACTAGATTGTTTTCTTTTTTCCTCAAGTTTTAAAGAATTGGCTCTGTGATGCTTGGGTGACTTTTATAAAAATTGCATGGGTTGAAAAGTGGGCAGATTCTATGCTTTACAACCCATCAACTCATTGGGTAATCTCTGTGTTTCAATTGTCCCAGAGTGTTTCTATAGAAAGGGTACATGTTATCCAATCTGGCAATGACCTTATGAGTGTGAGTGTCCCCCAAGCAGGCAAGAAGCCAGCTGTCAAGGGGAAATAGGACACATAGAAAACCTGTTCTGGTTGCTAATGATTTACCCACTGATACCGGTACTCTAAGGCTGGCCAGAAAACTGTAGGAAAATTGTATAGTGTATGGCCAGCCTTAGAGGAGGGTTAACACACCATGCATGCACATCCCACCACTCTTCTACGATATCTTAGGCCATCCCTAGTCATATGTGAATACTAAAGAGAAAATAAATCTATATGGAAACTACAACACATTAGCGTACCCTGCTGAATGTTTTTACGATCACTTAGAAATAAACAGTTTGTGCTGTCTTTTTCTTAAATAATTTTGAAGAAAAAAAAGCTTACAAAATAACATATCTATTAATTTTTTTAACATGCATTATCTTTTTCCATTGCCAATGTTTTTACTTAAAAATAAAACTATTTCATTGTACGGGACAGGTCAGGTTATGGAATGTTATTTTTAATATTTTTGCAGTATATGTATGAGCAGATAAACTAGTGATTCCTGCGTAGCCCTGCATGGACCCATTTTTTAGATTGTGGCAGTGGGTGCGGGGAGAAGGAAGATTCCCAACCCCCCTCCGATCAACTGTAGGAATCTTCCTACTATTCCCCACACTCGCTGCCACTATTTAACAACAAAAAAAAAAATAATAAAAATGGGTCCGTGCAAGGCTACGCCCACCCAGCCGTATCATTCATTCACATAGTTCTGTGAACCAGAGAACTACAAGCACCAACAGCCTTTGCAGCTGCTGGCTTGCAGTTGTCAATGAACTACCAGGGTGCTGTTGAGTGCTCTTGGTAGTTAATTGATGCTTCCTGTCAGTGTGTAACTGCTTGCAAGAGCCCTGAATTGCACCTGCGGTCCTAGTAAAAAGAAAAAAAAAAACATAAATACACATTTTTACCAGCAAAAATGTGTGTGTGTGCATATATATTTTTCCCTACAAAGGCAAACTTATCCTTTAAGTATCCTTTAAGAATGGGGGCAGTGACAACAGTAACTTGGCTGAAAAGCTACCTGCCATAGCTGGGCAAGGGGTGTCAGCGATCTCCCTATCAAAGTCCTGGATGGCAGTAAACCAGATGACTGAAGCCTGCCTCACTTCATCCAAAATAGAAGAATTTGCTTTGGGTAGTGTTGCTCTTGGATGATAGAAAACATCTGGTAAAACAATAAAGGCTACATACTTCACCCAATTATGTTTTTTTTTTTTTTTTTTTTTTACAAAAATGCTAACAAATATATATTTATTAGATTAGGGAACATTTGCAAGAACCACTGCACATAAAAAAATTAAAAAGTATAACAACTGGAAGTTTTTATTGCATTAGAGAATTTAAAATGATTGATACATTTATAAATCAATTAACAGGGATACCAATAGCCATCGTTCCCAATAGAGAGAACATGGTTAAAATAAACATTTCAAGGGATAATACATTACAGCACAACAATGCAGACACCTTAGGGGCATTCTTCAGCAGCCCTGTTGCTTCAGCACTTCCAACTAATGATGGCTCTGCCGTCTCTTGCACATACCCATTGGTCAGAAATAATCCCAGTGTAGTGATTAGCAAGTAGGATCAGGCAGGGAGTGGGTTGAGGGCTGCAACCAGCACAGGTCACTACCAACAGTGTCAGCCTGGTATTCAGAACAACCAGGCTGCATAAGAATGCATCTAAGGGTAGTGTCAAAGTATCATTTAGAAAAAGGAGAATTGTATTTTGAAATGAGCTAGCCTTAAAAAATAGCCTGGTAAATCTAGTCACCTAAAAGTCAAGCACAACAACATCAAATGATTGCAATTAAAGAAAGATGTACTTTCAGAACTTAAAAGATTTTCAATTAACCAGCACATTCCCATCACAAACATCTGCAGCAATTCTACATAACTCAAATGTGAAAGAACAAGTTACAAAATTCAAGGGATTCTATTTTTCTGAAATGTTTACGTTTAAAAATAATGCAAATAATTAGTTCTGTTAGCACTATGTTAGTAAAATAATACTGAATAATAACAGGTAGAATACAGTGGTGCTATAAGGACCCAGAATGATAAAATTTAAAGGAATGTGCAAGATTTTGGTTTACAAAAAAAAATCACCTGCCAATTTATCATTAAACAAAACATGTTCTTTAGCCCTGCGTACCTGCATTGTGCTTTGCCAAGTATTTATCTTTACTGCTTCTTTTTCTTCCCAAACCAAGTACAACTGGCTTGTTGCTCCTGCTTTGTTTTTTCCATTGCAATGCAAGCAACTCGCCTAAAACAAGAAACAAGACAAAGATTAATTGCTATTGTATAGGGAATTGTACACAAAATCAAACACAGATATGTGCATAAGAAGCATTTAAAAATACCTTATATTATGTATTAATGAATACAGGAGCTGCATTATTCTGTATCCTTTATATCTGCCTGGAGTTAAGCATTAATCTAATCTAAATATGAATTTTATCATACATCATACTCAGAATACTGTTCTTATTTCACATATAAATATCAATATGAATATGAAAAAGTGGGATGGCATTTGCTATTTAGTGTAACCTACCTGCAAACCATACTACCAATGATAATTTTTTTTTTTTCGTTGTTGCAGGATCAGTTTCCTTGGAGCTGCTAAAATGCTCCTAAACCGTGATTTTTCAAAAAATCGCCTCAAATGCAGCGCAATATATCATGCAACAACTGCGGCAGAACCGAACCATGTTTAAGTGTCATTGAAAATGAATGGCACCCGAAGAGGTGTGGTGCGTTTTGATACTATTGCAGTGTGATCGGAGATTGCAGGAAGTATCTCAGCAATTCTGCCTGAGATCCCAAAACTCCAGAAGTGGATGGGGCCTGAATCAGAATAAGAGTAACTCAAAACCAGATGGATACATATTGCAAATTTTAACTGCTTCCCGACCGTGCTATAGCCAAAAGACAGCTACAGAATGATCATCTTGTTCTGGGAGGGTGTCAATAGGTATCCGCCCAGAATCGCGCCCCCATGGAGCGCACTGAGCACGCTCTGTGATCACTGTTTCCTTGGTGAAAAAGCCCAAAGTTTTCCATTCAGGCAGCAAAGTATATGAGTCAATGTAGGTGAGACTAAACATGTTCCCTCAATGTTAAAGCTGCTTGTTCCTCTGCCCAATATTTGGCCACTTAATAGCAGAATCCTGGAAAATCTGTGTATCCCCAATCACACGAGAAGATGCCCTAGCACTGTACATGAGCATATTCCCTTTGGATTTCAGATCCTTGGCTATCACAGGAGTGAGAAGGCCCAGTGCCTAGGTGGGCTTTCTGGAAGCTGGGTTGTGAGTACATTTATATTCAATGTTTTATTTATTTATTTAGATCACTTTCACTGAGTGTTTTACTCAGGGGTTAGGGAGCTGATAGGTCCACATTAAAGAGTAGGAATATTTGAAATTCCAATATATTTCCTTGCTCCTAAATTAGCCACCCTCTCAAATGCTTTTTTTGACTGGATGCTGCTTAAGGCTGCATTCAAACCTGAGCGTAGCAAATTTGAGCGTTTTACGCATGATTATTCGTGCATATTTTACTGCAGTTTTGTTAATTTTCATACAGCGTTTTTGAGCTTTGGAGTTTCTTTATTAGCCAATAGAGAAAAATATCAGTTGCATCATTTGTTGTTTTCCATCAGCTTTTACTTCTATTTTTTGTATTATTATTATTATTCATTTATTATTTTGTTTTTTATTAGGGTAATGAGTTAAGAGTTAAGGTTAGGGTTAGAATTAGGAGTTAGGGTTTGGGTTAATATTTATCATCTTATTTTTGTTAGGGTGTTAATACTAAAAAATGAATAAATAAATGTAAAATAAATACACAAATAAATAAAAAAAATCAGAAATACTATGCAATAATAAATTATGAAAAACCCTAACCTTAACTTCTTCTCCATTAAAAAAATGTAAAATAATAATAAACTTATTAAATAAAGTTTATTGTTTGGGTGTTTATTATTATTATTTTTACAAATTATTTTTTTCTTAAGGGCTATGGGATTAAGATTCGTGTTATTTATTTACTTATTATCTATCATGATTTTTTTATTTGTGTATATTTTATTTATTCATATAGTATTCTTTTTTTACATTTTTTTTTAATTTGAGCAGAAAACAGTGCCAATTGTGTGTCAAAATGCGACAATTACGCAATTCTATGGGAATAAAAATGTGCCAAAAACACGCAATTCTGCCCAATTGGAGCTACAGAAAAATTTCCAGAACTTATTTGAGCTTCAGGTGATTTGGAGTGGAGATGTGAACCATCTCCAATGAGAATAATGGATTTGTTCTCCTCAAGCATTTTGGAGCTACAAAACATTCAGGTGTGAATGGGGCCTAAGAGGGGATAGAGTGCTAACATGTCCCTTGATGCTGTTTACATTTATTTCAGTGTGGTGTAATATTCACAGTAAATGCTTTGTTCCATACTTCTGTGTATTATGCCACTGAGATCCATATCTTTTTTAGTATGCTAAGAAGAACTAAACTTTATTGAAAAAAAAAATCTTTATCATCCTTCTATTTTCTGTGATTTTACAGAAGGTACAGCTAGTCAGTGAGGGTTTCAGGATTGGCTTATTCATAAGCAACTAAACAACCACATGTACACGTTTTCTGAGAAAACCCCCCCCCCCCCAGATCTTTCAGGTTTTAATGCCGAACTGCAGAACAAACTTGACTGGAAACATTTTCTGACTAGGAAGGGGCATTTTATCAGCTCAGCTATTTATATGATACAATGTTACTAGCATTGAAAAGACTGCAAATACATTCATTTGTTCCAGATCACTTACCATTCTTGAAGCTCGGGAGATGGAATGAGACCAGCTGTACCATTTTTGGCATTTTCCAGTTTGCCTTGCCACCAGTTGTGGTCATCTTTACTAATAATCTGGATAATATCTCCAACCCTAAACCTGATACCAGCTTCTTTACAGGGTATGAGGTCGTCCTTTACAGGATCATATTCAAATTGTGCTCTTACGTAAATCTAGAAAACAAGATTTATTACAGCCAGGGAAAGAACATGGGACAACTGAACAAACTTACAGGAAAAGATCAATGACATGAAAAATGGGAAATCAACATAGGTTTGCGCATAAGTGGAAACTACAGGGCAAATAGTGCATGAAAGTGACCTTAAGTAGTTAATTTTACCAAATAACTTGCTGTGCAAAGCCCTGTAACTATAGCACTAGATCTAAAAAAATAATAAGTACTTCTACAACACAAAACATGCCACAATCAGCTACACATTTATCAGTTACTTGTTAGACAAGAGACATTTATTAAAACCCATTCATGTACTCTAGTCTGAACAAGCCAGTCACAGCCAACATACACAGAAATGAGCAAGGGATAAAAGCTCTCCATATGCTTAAGCACTATTGCTATATAAGTCACAAATGACTTGAATATATGCAGATTATGTTCGTGAAAGTAGAACACTACTTTGCAGTGTGAAATCCCTTCTAATATAGCAGAACTGGAAAACAGTGATAACAAATGTGTCACACTTTGAATAGCTTTGTTAACGAAATCATGTGAGTCAGGGTTTCTCAAATCACAACCTGAATAAACCAATTTATGGAAAAGTTTGAATATGTAAATGTGCTTATTTTGGAGACAGGAGCTGTTCATCCTTAAGTGCCGGTGCATTTGTGCAATTAGATTTAGGTTTTCAATCTCCCATGCACCACAGAGTACTGTAAGTGTGCTTTGCACTCAGTGTGGTGAAAGGTAACCCTTCAAAGAGTGATATAACTGCACCCAACCTGCACTACAAAAACGTATAGGGGAAATGTATTAAAACTGGTGCTTCAACTAAGCTTGGACAATAAAACCTGGAAGCTGATTGGTTATGATGCACAGCTGCACCAGATTCTGTGTGCTACAGTTTTAGTAAATCTCCCCCATTATTTTATACATCTGACTTCCTATCTAGCAATTTGATCAAAGAAGTGACTGTCAGTTTGCACTGTTTTTTTTTTGGTATAACTTATGAACAAGCACTTGATTTTTTGCTTTAGAGTTGCTATATTTTTTTGGCAATATTTCAGTGCAAAAGTATGAATGAGCGCTAAAATTGTATTAGAAGAAAACTGCTGTGATATCATGCCCTGACAGGCTTCCATTATGTTAGTGCCTGATGTGCCTGAGAGACCTATGGAGTTCCGCAGGAGTATCTACTACGTGCACGCTCCCATTTGGAATTATAATGTGTAGCTGTTCATAGCACCAGAGACCAGCAGAGGGCGAGGGACACAGTCAAATTTACGCCTCTCTTCCTCCTCCACAGCAGTAATTGATAGATCAGGAGCCACCGCCTTTGTGTGCGTAGAGCAGATTGAAAAATCACTCTGAATAAGCATGATTTCTCACTAGTTGCATCAAAAGATTATACCTGATTGAACATACTACCAAGGACTCCTTGCAAGCATAACCATAATGTGGAATACAGTGGACTACATTTGTGAAATACTGGAGACACTTACACCTCTGTGCACCTAGCTGACTGTATGATCAGGCATGATTTGCAGTACTTGGGGTTGTGGAATGATGATAGGTACAGTGAAGAAAATAAGTATTTGATCCCCTGCTGATTTTGAATGTTTGCCCACTCACAAAGAAATGATCAGTCTAAAAATCGAATGGTAGGTGTATTGTAACACAGAGACAGAAGAGCAACAAAAAATTCAAAAGAAATGCATGTCTAACAAATTATGCACTGATTTGCATGTTCATGAGGGAAATAAGTATTTGATCCCCTTCACAAAACATGACTTAGTACTTGGTGGCAAATCCCTTGTTGGCAATCACAGAGGTCAGACATTTCCTGTAGTTGGCCACCAGGTTTGCACACATCTCAGGATTTTGGCCCACTTCTCTTGGCAGATCCTCTTCAAGTCATTAAGGTTTGGTGGCTGACATTTGGCAACTCGAACTTTCAGCTCCCTCCACAGATTTTCAATCGGATTAAGGTCTGGAGACTGGCTAGGCCACTCCAAAACCTTAATGCGCTTCTTCTTGAGCAACTCCTTTGTTGCCTTGGCCGTGTGTTTTGGGCCATTGTCATGCTGGAACTCCCATCCATGACCCATTTTCAATGCCGTGGCTGAGGGAAGAAGGTTATCACCCAAGATTTGACGGTACATTGCCCTGTCCATCGTCCCTTTGATACGGTGCAGTTGTCCTGTCCCCTTAGCAGAAAAACACCCCCAAAGCAGAATGTTTCCACCACCATGTTTGACAGCTGGCATGGTGTTGTTGGGGTCATAGGCAGCATTCCTCCTCCTCCAAACATGGCGAGTTGAGTTGATTTTAAAGAGCTCATTTTTGGTCTCATCTGACCACAACACTTTCAACCAGTCCTCCTCTGCATCATTCAGATGTTCAGTGGCAAACTTCAGACGGGCCTGGACATGTGCTTTCTTGAGCAGAGGGACCTTGCAGGCACTGCAAGATTTCAATCCTTCTCAGTGTAGTGTGTTACCAATTGTTTTCTTGGTGACTGTGGAGGTCATTGACAAGATCCTCACGTGTAGTTCTGGGATGATTCCTCACTGTTCTCATGATCATTGACACTCCACGAGTTGAGATCTTGCATGGTGCAGCAGACCTAGGGAGACTGACAGTTGTTTTGTGTTTCTTCCTATTTGCGAATGATTGCACCAACTCTTGTCACCTTCTCACCAAGCTGCTTGGCGATAGTTTGGTAGCCCAGTCCAGCCTTGTGCAGGTCTTGTCCCTGACATCCTTGAACAGCTCTTTGGTCTTTGCCATGGTGGAGAGTTTGGAATCTGATTGTTTGATTGCTCCTGTGGACAAGTGTCTTTTAGACAGGTAACAAAATGAGATTAGCAGCACTCCCTTTAAGAGACTGCTTCTAATCTCAGCTTGTTACCTGTATGAAAGACACCTGGTAGCCAGAAATCCTGCTGAATGATAGGGGATCAAATACTTATTTCCCTCATGAACATGCAAATCAATGCATAATTTGTTAGACATGTATTTCTTTTGAATTTTTTGTTGCTACTCTATCTCTCAGTGTTACAATACACCTACCATTCGATGTTTAGACTGATCATTTCTTTGTGAGTGGGCAAACATTCAAAATCAGCAGGGGATCAAATACTTATTTCCTTCACTGTATATGAGGTGTATATGCATGTTGATTTTGCAGCATACATATGATGAATGATATAAATTACTAATCAAGCATGTTCTAGTGTCTAAAGTTTGAGGTCCCTTTCAGATGAGTGTTCCATCTGTATGTTTTTTATGGATCTAGATGGAAATCAATGTACCTCTATTGTTGGCGGACCTAAACGGATGTGTGTCCATTTACATTCACCCACATTCAAGTCCGATAAGCTCTGAAAAAACAAACAGAAAAGCTTTGCTTCCTTTTCCGTTTTTGTGGATCTGAACGTGATGAATTGGATGAACACTGAAGTGAACAGTCACACATCCATCTAAAATGAGGGACTGCATGGGTCAGTTTTATCACCATCACAACAGGAAAAATCAGAATGGACAATAATGTCTAAAAAGCGACTTCATTCTGATCTGACTCAGCAAGGGATCCGTTTACAGATTTCCCTGCTGGTACAGCAAGAAGGACAACCGTGTGAAAGAGGCCTAAAGGTTTTCAATTTTTAATAAATCAGTATTGAAATGTGTTTAACCTATTTACTCAAAAGGACATCTCTACCAAATGACATTTGACTCTTTAATAAAAGATTTAAATAACCCCTAGTTTCCCTTTAAAGTAGCACTAAAGTTTGCTTAATAGCAAAGAATACCCAATCATATGCAAGAGAAAAAAAAAAAGGATTTTCTCATAGCTTAGTGAATGAGGTGACATTTGAAAACTATAATTATTCAAATCAGGTGCAAACAAAAATAGTCAATCTGAAGTTCACTGGATGTGTTGCAATGGGCAAAAAGTGGTTTTCCCTTTATCATACTTTTCATATGTCAGGTCCATTGTGAATTACATTGTAGAATGGAAAACCTTGAAACGCCCATGTTGTGTAAACAACTGTAAAAAGTACATATATGCAGTAATTTCTGTAAGTAACTGCTATTGTAGTGCCCAAAAGGAAACTGGTCCTGCTATACAGAATATCTAGTTTTTTATGCTTAAGATGTTTATCTTAATGGCTAAACATTAAAGTGTTACTAAACCCAGGACCCTGCATTCACTACATCTGGTCTCCCACAGTACAAAGAATATGGAAATGCAGTTATTTTAGTAAATATAAACTGCTAAATACCTTTTCTCATCAGCAGTTACAGCAGTTTTGTGACTTCTATCAGTGTCCACCAGAGCACTGGTAAAAGCTTGTAGGAATTTTAATTCTGCTCTAGGAAGATGCAGGACCCCTGACCTCTGTCTGGACAGTGCTGATTGGCCCTGTGCTGATCTCATGCACTCTCCCCCCCAAAAAAAACAAAAACCTCTCTAGCAATACACACCAAACTGAGCATGTGCAGAGTGACTCCACACAATATGTCTTATCAGGATATCAAAGGGGGGCACTGGAAGAAGGGGATGATTGGAGAAGACAGGATCAAACAGCATTTTTACACAATGCAGAGGAGTAACCCCTTAGGTTCCACAGTGATTATAACAAGCATGCTTTACTGCATATACAGACTGATTTTACGTTGTGGGTTAAGATTGCAACCACTTAACATTTATGTGAATAATCTCAAAACAAAAACAAAAACAAAAAAGTACATGTATTACAAACAATCTTATTTGGGTGACACTCCTCGATCCTATTTTATTCTTATTGTGGTGGCCAGGGGAAGATTCGATATAAGAACTGTAAGGAAAAAAGCAACAGAAACCCTAATATATAGACTGTAACTAAAACAAAACTTAAAAACTTAAATATTTCTTAACCACCTCCTGTCTGGCTGTTGTATATAAACGGCCGGACAGTGGCAGTGCAGGGTCGGGTGGCCGTTTATAAACGGCCTCCCCGCCCCCTGCTTGTGCGTGCTCCCTGGGAGCGTGCAGCACCACGATCCGGTGCCCGCTTTGTCCTCCGGACA